AAACAATAACAAACAGCAACATACAGAAAATACATACAACAAAGGCAGAGGCAGTCATATTCTAAATATAAGCAACATAAAAATACACATAACACACACAGTCAAACAAGCAACGTGTGTAAAACCAAAAGTTTTAGCATAATAAAATGAAATGGTATTTTTAAAAACTTCTCGGATATTAAAACAAACAAAACTTTTCGTTGCTTCCATGTTGTTGTTTATTTTACGCCCATCGCCCAGCGCCCTTGTGTGTTGGCATTTTTAAGTAAAAATACACCCGGGAACATTTCGACTTATTCCGAAAAAATACATACATACATAAACGTACATACAAATTTGCATACACATACTATATGTAAATGCAAATAGTAAGCGTGTAAAACGACGCGGGTCACCGTTCTGGTAAAAGCAAACAACTTTAATTGAACTGTTTACCCGGTTTTTATTATACCCTGTACCCGTAGGATATAAAGGCTATATTAGGTTTGTGCAAAGTATGTAACATGCAGAAGAAAGCATCTCCGGCCCCATTAAGTATATATTCTGAATCAGCATGCCGAGAGAAATCGATCTAGACACATCCGCCCGTCCGTCCTTTTGGATGAACGCAAGGATCTCGGAAACTATAAGAGCTGGGATAACCAAAGTTAGTATCCAGATTCTCCTAGGTCCGGGAAAGGACGAGTTCATTATTTTTTATACCCTGTACCCAAAGGGTACAAGGGTATATTAGTTTTGTGCGAGTGCACATGGAACACACAGAAGGAGGCTTGGTAGACCCCACAAAGTATATATATTCTTGATCAGCATGACAAGCCGAGTCGATATAGCCATGTCCGTCTGTCCGTCTGACCGTCTGTCCGTCTGTCTGTCCGTCTGTCTGTCTGTATGAACGCAAGGATCTCCGAAAGTATAAGAGCTAGAATAACCAAACTTGGTATACAGATTCTCCTGAGACCGAGAAAGGACGAGTTTGTTCATTTTTTCTGATCCACCCCCCCACTCCCCCCCTATTCAAGATTTTCTATAACTCCCGTAATTCTTGGAATTTTGAACTAAAATTTGGTAGTCACATTAGGTTAGTAATTATATATCCGTATACCAAGTTTCATTATGAAAGAATGATCAGAAAGAAAGTTATAGCCATATAACCAGGCCCAATGCACACATACATACATATGTACAAGTACACAAACACGCATAACGCACGATTCTGATGTAAATGTAAATGTATCTATGCATGCATGAAATATTTTATATTTAATTTAGTTAATTAATTAAATTAATTTAGTTAATTAATTAATTTAATTTAATTAATTTAATTACTTTTTTGTGGGGTGGTACAGGGTATTTAAGAGTTGAGCCTGCTCGACTTTAGCATTCCTTTCTTGTTTTTTTTTGAATTTCCCCCCACTTCCCCCCAATGGGGGATTTTTGTAACGCCGTTTGTTCGGAGCAGAACGCTCAAAATTAACGAATATTGGCTGAAATGTTAAATTCCCAAAATATGTAAACAATAGTCTAAGCTTTCACTCATGTTAATTGCATTCTCACATTGTTCTCAATATTTGCACCAAAATTGGAGCGTTCGGTAACGCTGATATGTACATACATTTAAATTTTTCATGCAGGCGTTATCCGCCTATATACATACATACGTATGTATTACTTTTGTAATTCAACACTAATTCCAAATATGATTGTTGTGAATGTAAAAAGTGTGTTTTGCTTTAACGGTAAAGATGGGCATGTGTCGGATGCTCTATGTGCTAGAGCATTAAAACTATCGATAGTTGAATCCGTCGATACAATCAATAATTCCATCGAAGTTTGAATGCAATTAACAGAAAATTTAAATAACATCTTATAATTTATATATATGTGTGTGTGTATGTAAACTTAGTTGTCCCCAACTGTTTGATATTTTGTATTGTTTGTTCTGCCTGCATTTGTAAAATGCATATTATGAAAACCCTTGAAAGCAAAGTTGTAGATTTAGTTACGTAGATTACAGTCCCTAAATTTGAAATCGATCGGAAAAAATTTATAACACAAACTTTTCATTTGAAAAGGTGAATAAATATTAAAACCCCAATAATTCAAGCTCCACCACAAATTTCTTTTATAGATTATAAAAATCAAATTTAAAGTTGATCGGTGCAGAAGTGCAGAATTTTCAAACAAACTTTGGAGCGCGTTTTCCCCCCTTTGGAGCTTGAATTTTCCAAAATCCCTTCTTAGTGGGCACCTTCACTATGATAGGATCCTTGAGCCCAAATTTCAGCTTCATAGCTCTTGCCGTTTGGGCTGTGGGCTGTTGACGCGGTTTCCTTTTATGCCCCATTTTTTTTAAAGGAAAAATTCAAAATTGTAGTCCCCAAAAAAATACAGTTGGACTTGAAATTTTTCTGAGAGTATACAAACTAAGTTTGAAGTTAATCAGATGAAAATTGTAGATTTTGCATACAAACTTTGGAGCTCGATTTCCCCCCTTCGGAGCTCGAATTCTCAAAAATCCCTTCTTAGTGGGCACTTACACTATGATAGGATACTTGAGCCCAAATATCAGCTTCCTAGCTTTTACCGTTTGGGCTGTGGGCTGTTGACGCGGTTTCCTTTTGTGCCCCAACATTTTTTTTACACGAAAAATTTCAAAAAACCAAGTATGCAGTTTTTCTTGGAATTCTCTTGGAAGTATACAAACTACGTTTGAAGTTAATCAGATGTAAATTGTAGATTTTTCATAAAAACTTTGGATTAATTTCCTGTATACCAAGTTTAGTTATTCTAGCTCTTATACTTTCTGAGATCCTTGCGTTCATACAGACAGACTTGTCATGCTGCTCAAGAATATATATACTTTGTGGGGTCTACCAAGCCTCCTTCTGTGTGTTCCATGTGCACTCGCACAAAACTAATATACCCTTGTACCCTTTGGGTACAGGGTATAAAAATGCTGAAAAATGCTGTTAGCCCAAAAAAGGATAGATTTCCGGATAGCGGCTGTTTGATATTTTTTCAGGCTGATGCAATTTTTAAAAGGACAGATCTATCCGGAACAAGTAAAAAAGCTAAAGTCGGGTGTCCCGACTTTGAAATACTCCTTACAATAATTATAGAAAATAAAAAATTAAGGAAATAAAAAAAAAATTTGATCGATTTTACCTCTCTCGGTATTCGAACTCACGTAAGGGGTTTATATTTGCACATTTACATAGCAATTGCGTCTGTGTGAGTGTATGTATGCCTATGCGCATCTATTCGTGTCTGTGTAAACATGTGTGCAGTCAACCAAAGCACTAGCATTAACAACAGCCGCGGGCAGCGCTGCAGCAGCGCTTGAGCAGCGCTGCAGCAGCAAATATATTTATGGCTATAACTTCTTGTTAAATCGGTCTATCATAGTGAAACTTGGCATACGGACACATAATAACTAACTTGGGGGTATTTGCAAAATTTTTTTTCGAAATTCCAAGAATTACGGGAGTTAGAAAAAATCGCAATTTGCATGGGAGAGGGGGGAGGGAAATTCCAAAATATACATTTTCTGCGTATTCACATAAGGCATCTGGGACTAAAATTTGGTGTTCCTAGGTCTTATAGTCTCCGAGATATAGGCGATTATAAGAATGGAAAATCGGGAAAACCCCCATAGGGGGGAAGTGGTGGCGAAAATCAAAAAAATAAAACAAACTCGTATAGAATACACACATAAGGCAAAATTTGTTTAAAATTTGGTGTCTCTAGCTCTTATAGTCTCTGAGATCTAGGTGATCATACGGACAGACGGACAGACGGACAGACAGGGCTAAATCGACTCGTCTTTTCATGCTGATCAAGAATATATATACTTTGTGGGGTCTGCCACGCCTACATTTCAGAGTATAAAAAGGCTGAAATGTCAACACTGAAGTACACAAACACGCATAGACACTATTCGGATGTAAATGTATGCTGTTGAAATTGTACAAACCCTTATAGTATGTATGTATATACTACATAAATATATTGCATGTGTTGAATATTTTATATTTAATTTAATTAAAATTTTTTTTAAATTAATTTTTATACCCAGTACCCAAAGGCTACAAGGGTATATTAGTTTTGTGCGAGTGTACATGTAACACACAGAAGGAGGCGTGGCAGACCCCACAAAGTATATATATTCTTGATCAGCATGACAAGCCGTGTCGATATAGCCATGTCTGTCTGTCCGTCTATCTGTATGAACGCAAGGATCTCAGAAACTATAAGAGCTAGAATAACCAAATTTGGTATACAGATTCTCCTGAGCCCGAGAAAGGACGAGTTTGTTCATTTTTCCCGATGCGCCCACCCACTCCCCCCCTATTCAAGATTGTCTAGACCTCCCGTAATTCTAGGAATTTTAAACTAAAATTTGGTAGACACATCCAGTAATTATATATCCGTGTACCAAATTTCGTTATGATAGGTTGATCAGAAAGAAAGTTATAGCCATATAACCATGCCCAATGCACACATACATACATATGTACAAGTACACAAACACGAATAGACACGATTCTGATGTAAATGTATGTATGCATGTATGGAATATTTTGTATTTAATTTAGTTAATTAATTAAATTAATTAATTAATTAAATGAAATTAATTTATTTTTTTGTGGGGTGGTACAGGGTATTTAAGAGTTGAGCCTGCTCGACTTTAGCATTCCTTTCTTATTAATCTAGAAATTACGTTCCTTGAAATATAATTAAGTAAATAATGTTAATATAGATACTATCGACGGTCTCCGCCAAAAATAAGACACTCCGAGTGGTTCTAGTGTCAACAGATTTGCAGCGCAATCAATTTAGCCACTTCCGTATAAATTATAGAACTATAATGCAATGACTACAGCTAAGTAAAATGGAAACGACAAATTAACGAGACAGGCAAATAATATTAACGAGCAGATTTGTTTACGTACGACTATATAGTATGTGGATGTGAAGGCTAAAAAATCTTGCGTACTTACCCTTGCTAGCACCATCCGGGCCGCGCAATATGGTGCACTCCTCTATAGTGCCAAATGGATGAAAAATTTGCCGTACATCGTCCTCGGTTTGTTGTTTGCTGAGCATGCCAACGAACAGTTTGCGATCTAAATGCTCTTTTATTGGTGAATTGTTTAATTTATTAAACATTTATTTTTAATTTTCAAAAGAGGCATAATATGGAAAAGGTCATGTTAAGAAAATAAGTAAAAGAAAGACATAATGTTATGAGTATAGTAGAATACCACGTGTTAAATCAAATTGGGAATTATCGGGGGCGTATCAAAAAAGTACGAAATGAAAATCCAAATTCAAGCCACATGAGGGTTGTGTTTTTGAGTGTGAGAATGCAATAGGGTTACACATTACGCAACAATTTGTAACGAGTAACGAAAACCCAGCAGGCACATCGAATAAAATGGAAAGGCAATAACCGCAAAAGCACAAAAATTAAAATATAAACGAAACAACATTTAGTAATTTTGGGCATTATTATGTTGCGTTACGTTTTTGTTTTATTCCAATACGTAATATATTTTGTTTGTTCATTTTAAAATGGTAGAAGCCAAAAATAAAAAAACGGTAAATGGTAAGTAAGTACCAAGAAAATGCAAATTCATGAAAAAAATAGTCAGACAAAAAAAATACGTATATGGATTTATGGCCAGTATTCCAATTTTGCCAATTTTGAAGAGCATTTTTGTTTTATTTAAAAATTTAGTGTTTATTTATAGAGCATGAACAAGTGTTACATAAAAAGGAAAGAAAAGAAGATACAAATCGGTGATATTTAGTAAAACTGTGGAACTATATATGAACTTATTGTTTGAATAAATCTAAAATTGCACATTCTTACAACAGCTATCAATTAAATATAAATATAACAAAAACTAATACAGACACGCCACAAACAGCTGTTTAAAACACCCAATCCGTTTCTAAGAAGCTGAATATTCAAAATAAACACAGAAATAAAACGATTTTTAGTCAATACTGGAAATGAAGTAAAGACTATGTATGAAAATCACTAAATACAAAAATGAAATTAGTTCATGTTTCCTAGGGATTAGGAGACTTTACATACCAAGTTTGGTTAATGTAGGTTCAGCCATTTCCGAAATCCAGAAGTGCATCCCTACGGACCGACAGACGGACGGACATGTCTAGATTGATCCTTGGTCAGGAAAAAGTATACGGCTAAATACAATTATTCGTGTTTTCATAGTATTGAACGGTTTTTTTGTAGTCGTTGGGTTGCAAGAAGAAGAATAAGAATATTAAACTCGAGCAAGCCCAAAATAGAAATACCCCAGTACCCAAAAAAATATAATCCTTGTAAAACCCCGCTCGACCTTTTTTATACTCTGTACATGAAATGTATAAGAGTATATTCAGCTTAGGGGAGGTGAAAAATGTAACAGGCAGAAGGAGGCGTGGCAGACCCCACAAAGTATATATGTATATTCTTGATCAGCATGACAAGACGAGTTGATCTAGTCTTGTCTGTCTGTCTGTCAGTCTGTCCATCCGTCTGTCTGTTCGTATGAACACCTGGATCTCAGATACTATAAGAGCTAGAGACACCAAATTCTGCACAAAGATGCCTTATTTGTGTACGCTGTGCAAGTTTGTTATATTTTTCTGAATTTCTCCCACTTATCTCCCACTTAATCCGTGATTTTCCATAACTCCCGTAATTCTTGGAATTTTTAACTCAGTGATTATGCGTCCGTATGTACAGTTCCATTATAATAGGCCGATTTGACAGAAAGTTATAGCCATAACTGCAGCTGATGTTGGTGCTTTGGTTGACTGCAAACATGCTCACAGACACGAATGGACACGCTTAGAGGTGCATACATTCACATAGACGCAGTTTCTATGTAAATGTGCAAATATGCACCCTATACGTGAGTTCGAATACCGAGAGAGGTAAAGTCGATCAAATTTTTTTTTTTCAATTTCTTATTATTCTAAACAAATATACAGAGTATTTTAAAGTCGGGACACCCGACTTTAGCTTATCTACATGTTTTTTTTTATACCCTGTACCCGTAGGGTAAAAAGGGTATATTAGATTTGTGCAAAGTATGAAACATGCAGAAGGAAGCATCTCCGACCCCATACGGTATGTATATTCTGAATCAGCATGACGAGAGAAATCGATCTAGACATGTCCGTCCGTCTGTCTGAATCAACGCAAGGATCTCAGAAACTATAAAATTTAGAATAACCAAAGTTGGTATCCAGATTCTCCTAGGTCCGAGAAAGGACGAGTTTATTTTATTTTTAAATTTATTAAATCCCCCCCCCCTTCACCCGCTACAGAATTTTGTCAATAACGTCCACATTTCAAATGCTACCTAAACCAAACTTTGCACATTTGCACTGGAGAGAATTTGTTTCGCTAATAACTTTTCTTAGAATTGACCGAATTGGATAAAATTTTAAACAACAGTAGATAATTATATATAAATGATGTGTGCATATATATATGTATATATATGTATACATACATAATACCTTTAAATTGACAATGCCTTTTATTGGCATATTTATCATGATAAGTGCAACCAATTGCCAAGAAAATGTACACAAGAAACAAGTGGAAATGCTTGACAGCTTCGGCGTTAAAGCGGGAAAAGCAATCGAAGTTTAAAATAACTAGTACGGCACGTTAGTTGGCGCACATAGCTATGCAGCTGTAGGCAATTGTCTTTGTGTGTCCGGGTAAGCCTAATGGCTTTGGGGCTTTCGCTTGGTTCGGGCTAAGCACGTGCAATAAGCCAAACAACGCCTCTGGCATGCTAAACAAAGGGCAACTACAGCCCAAAAGACGCTAGGGTTCAAGTGACATCAACAGCAGGAAAACCGAAAGCAACGGCAATGGAAAAAGCAAAAGCACCAAGAACACTCTGGACAAAAAGGGTTGCCGGGGCCGCTAACCAGTCAGCAAGCGCACCAGTCGGGCTTAATAAAAATGTAAGGCACGTGGAGCGAAAGGTAACAAGGCGCAGGTAAGTGAAGCAAAAATAGTGTAGCATGCTTTGTGGCGCCTGCTGTACATATGAAATGGCATAGTTCAACTGCCTGTTAACAGTTGTGGCGCCAAAAAGCGGGCAATGTAAAAAAAACAACGCTGCATAGGTCGAACGGTCCTAGCTAGAAGGTCGTCGGGCGTCTGTTGTCGCTGGCCCTGTCCCAAAAAAAGCAAAGGATTTGCACAATGTTTAGCCGCTGTTGCAGCAATTTTCCACAATTACGAGGATTGAGGCCGGCATAAAATGCACACACAGTACTCTGTGATTCTTTTCCGACGTCGTCTCGGCAACAGTCAGCTATCCAGGAGCTCGTAGCATAAGGAGAGTGGCTAAGAGAGGAGTTGCGGAAAGCACGGCAAAGCAGTGAAAATAATATTAAAGGCCATTAGGCTCATATAGACAAGTTAAGTGGCTCTTTTTAGTGCCACTGCTGCCAGCCGTACAGCATGTCACTTGAATGAGGATGAGTGTGAGAAGGACTTGGCGGACATGTGAACTTTGTGCAGCAGTTTTTAGGTTTTATTTTATGCCTCGGCTGTTACCAAAGCAGAAGAAGTCATTAATGTGTCGTTGTCTTTGATGCTGCTTGGCAAAAATAAAAAAATAAAATTAAATTAGTTAACCACATGGTACGGCAACTTTTGTTTTATATATGTAAAGGTCCGGGAAAGTCACAGCGATAGGGCCACTGTACCCACTAATTGTTGCATGTTATGTTTTGGCTTATCCTCGCCCGGGGGAATAGGACACAAAAAGCGCAGTGAGCTCGAGCTGCGCTAGACAAGTAATTGTGTTTTAAATATAGCAAAGGTAAAAACAATCCACCAACCAAGGTGTATAAATTATACAGAAAATGCAATAACACACGGTAAAAGAAACTAAATAGAAAGTTGCTGACTAAGCGGCGCCAAATGGATCCTGACGCCGCTTCTCATACGTATCTGCTGCTGTGCTCGACTTTTTTGGGCACCCCTTGCCAATTGACATGTAAATTGACATTTAATGGTTGCTAATGAGCGTCTGAGGATTAGTCGTCGGTGAAAGCTTACCAAAGCGATTTGAATATATTTTGCGAATTCTTTTGAAGTGCTGACAAGAAGCGTAGCAAATGAGTTTTTAGTGGCAAACACACCACCGGGCAACTGCACAAAACGCTTGTTTAGTTATTTTGGCTAACATCTCAGCTGACTCTCCATTAAATTTGAGAATCCCATGTTATATCAGATACATACATCGAATAGATTAAGTATTATAAGAATACTGGTGGAAAATTTTTTTGGAAAAATGATTATTATTATTCATACCGATACGTCCAAGAATATCGCGTATAGCATAGCTGAAAATACCAATCAAATTATTTAAACATTAAAAATAATTCTTATAATGAAGGAAGTCCAGTAAAGCGACGCATGGTCGCTTCTTATAATGTGTGGAACGTGAAAGCTCGGGCTTGGCCATGTTTATTCTGCTTTAAATTTTCGAAATTTTATTTGCTTAGGTAGGAAATGGAAATTGAAAATGCGTGTGCCTTGTGGATGTTACGTATAGGCTAATGCATATCAAATGACAAAAACTCGAAAGTGCGCCCGATTAATATTATTATAACCATGATTGTAGAATTATAACAGTATTTGACAATCAATTGGCAATTACAACCATCACGATAAAAGAATGTGTTTCTTTAACTATTGGTTTAAATAGAAAAGGTGCTATAAATATTTGCTCTTGGCATTATACCTTACAAATCTAAAGCAACTTGAAGCATTTGCTACTCATTTAGTCTGTTCAGTGCCGTACAGCCGACAAAGTGTCAGTATTTATACAGCAAATAAGCTAAATTTTTCCTTTATGACTCCCACAACGGCGGCTACACGAAACTGTTGTTGGTTTGGAGGTCTGACGATGGCGATGCTGTCGACAATTGTTTGGCAATTGTCAAAAACGCCTCCCCGCCGCCATTGCCGTCAAACGAAGCCTTGTATGACGTTTATATATGTCTGGTAATATCTCTGAGTCGCCTAAGACGTCGCACCAAGACCAACCGGAGCTACCAGACAGTCTTCCTGCCTGGCCTG